CTCTTCTCTTCTCTTCTCTTCTCTTCTCTTCTCTTCTCTTCTCTTCTTCTCCTCCTCTCCTCTTCTCCTCCTCTCCTCCTCCTCCTCGCCAGCAAGTTAGAGCAAGTGGCAGATCGCAGTGGGCACTACCGGACCTCAACCGCAGCCGGGCACTCCCGGACCTCAACCCACAACACACAACACACAACATAACCACAAACACACAACACACAACCAACAAAGCACAACCACATTACACAAGCACAAAACGCACCACAAGTGAACAAACAAACAAACAAGCAAGCAAGCAAGCATGCAAGCAAGCAAGCAAGCAAACAAACAAACAGAAACACACACACAGACAGAGCCACAAACACAAAAACACAGCCATAAGCACACAAAGCACAAACACAATCACAAACACACAAATACAATTAAAAACACACAACCACAAACACACAACCACAACACACAGAAACCACAAGCACCACCACAAACAAACAATCACATCACACCACCACAACACACAATCACAGCACACAACCACAACACTCAAACACAACCGCAATATAATTACCTGTGTGTATGGCATTTGCGTGGCAGGTGGTCACAGGGTAGCACTTTTGAATGCCAACTGGAGACCCTGGCGACACCCCGACGCGAACTCCCTAACACTAAAATAGCAACCCCAAGCCCGAGGACCCACAAGCAAAATCGAAAACCACAAAACTCACGACCGTGGCAGCATGCTCCTCACCATGGCATGAAATCAAATGATTGAAATGTCATGGTGGGGCTCACTCCAAGTAAAGTATTTAATGTATTTTTCTACGAACAGGCCGTTGTCCACTACAAGGAATCCATCCGGTCCAAACCAAACAACTTGAGTGATCAATCTCTCTTGGGGATCTTGGGGGTTCAAAGGTTAATCATTGGGAGTGATCGATCAAAACCTGAAGCCCGACCGGTCCACCATGTAGCTTGACCTCCAGATAGGGAAAAACCAAGGTATTCTGGCTTCGACCATTCGAGGAATTTTTGGATCTTCAACTTGTTGACACGCTGGAAGGCGATGTTCGTTCCTAAATTGTTGCAATAGTTCGTGCTGGATCTTCCATGTTTTGTCGATGCCGATGGCTCATCGAAGGGTCAACTATAAACAATGTCATAGGACGTTCTAGAGGCTGTCGAGGTCCACTACTGAGTTTGTTTATTTTTGGGCACCTGAGATCCATTGGGATATCATGTGAGGTTGTGGGAAGTCCGGATATTTGAACCAACAAATTGACCCACCATGAATATATATATATATATATAGCCAAATAGATAGAACAATAGATCCCCACTCAAAATGTATGGGAAACCGTGCCACTATCTATTTGAGATCACTATAGACCTGATGTGTGGACTCTTCCTCACTCCGCTTCTTTGACTTCGTCTCAACGCGAAGTCAATGAGGTCAATCGAAAGCGAAGCTCAACATTCGACAGGAGAAGAATGGAAATGTTGCGAACCCAGCAATTCCGGTGACTAGTCACTTTTTTGGCGGTGAATTGTCCGGACCAAAATGATCAAACATGTTTATAAGATTCTACTTCTCTTGCTCAGGGAAAAAAGGAGAGAAGTCAGCACCTGCGACAACCAAACATGTGGGGCACCTGGCCACTGAAATAAACCTTCGAATTGCCTCATGAATAATGGGACCCTTTGCCACACCAGTAGTAATTCATAGTATATCAGAGTACCCAAAGGGCCATTTTTAAGTGTCCGTGTCCAATAACGCACATTTGCTGAACCTTGTTAACAGTTGTTCTAGTTGCGCTTTGTTTGTCGATCACAGCCTTCTACCTGGTTGCATTTGGGTGTCCCCCCGCCCTTGTGTTTCCCCTGAGAATCCGCATGTGAAGAAACTTTTAGGAGAAACCTTGGTTTCTTAGGAGTGAAATTCTGGGGTCATCATAGCAAGATCAAAAGCCAAGAACGTTTGCAGGTTGGTGGTTCCGAAACACCAGTCACCTTCACATACGTGGGAAGCCAACAATTTGTTGCGTTCCATGTTTTGTCTTCAGGTTCACTTTTTTATGTTCCCCCCCACACTTTTAGCCAGGCTCAACATCCTACCCCTTCCTCACGACGTGACGTGAACGTCGCATCTGTTCCATCCTCCATGCTCACCGTCCGCGGGCCTCATAGGTCTCAGTGGAAGGCTTGGTTGAGGAAGAATGTTTGGAGTCCCCAGAGACCTTGGGGCTTCACACCGGTCCTGGGCAAAGACGGCGTGGTGGTTGCTGAGGTGGAAGCGAAGGAAGGGTGGTTTTTCCTCTGACGGTCTGAAGCGGTCTCGTCTCGGGCGGGACAGTGGTACTGCCATGTGCCGCCCTTGATTGGAAGGTTGAAAGTCAGATGTGTGTGAGTGGGTGTCCAAATGCGGGAAGCCCTCCACAGAAGCCACAGCTTCGTGGTCGACATCCTCTTCTCGTGGTCTACTTCAAGTCTTGCTGCCACAAGGGGCGTCACAGAATAAAGACCTCCGAAAGACCATGAGCTTGCCTCAATCCGTCTCGCCTTGACCAAAGAAAGGGAAGCCTTCTGCAGGGTAAATCATTTACCAAGTGTTGGTTTGGCTGTTGTCAATCAATTGCTTGCCACTTGCTAAATTTCAGGACCCACAAGCAGGCAATCCCTCATTGCTAAGTAAAAGAGTCAAAGAGGGAATCCCCATGTCCAATGTTCGAGGAGAACATTGAAGACATATTATATAATGAGCACATGTTATTTGAGTCATGGACAGAATCTTTCCTTCTAGCAGAACCTATTTGGGATGGTCATGATCGCCCCCCCTCCCCTTCTACATTGAAAACACACCACGGGGGCCTAGTGCATAGATGTTTTATGATTGTGTCACTCGTATGAAGCGTCAACCACTGCGTGGGAAGGCTGTGGGAATTCCATGGTTGGCTGATTCACTTGAACAACCGACCAAGCCCCCCAAGAAGTATTCCACCATTGCCATAGCGTCGTAAACGGTCGTAAACCTTCAAACCTGCTTTCTGGACCTCATCCTAAGGGTTCACCGGGCCCCTGCTAGCACTTAGTTCAACTACTGAGCTCCCTCATCAAACCCATGAAGCAGATCAGCTGGTCGGACATGCACCGCACCCCAGCGGACCGCACCTGGTCGAGGTTCGACGGCTGATGAGCTCATGGCCCTCCTCGAGCGCCGCTGAGACCTTGAAGTCGGAGGGTTCGGTCGGCTCGGCGGATCCAGAATTCATGTCCCAGACGCGACCCATGGGACTGCCATAGGACTGCCGCCCCATTGACCCCTGTTCAACCACCCCAACTGATCGGCACATATGGCAGTCCCATGGGTCGTGTCTGGGTGTGATTGGAGTCCACCTGACATGATTAACATGATGCATGCTTCCGAAGATCGGAATACGATGTCCCATTTTCGGGATGCCGGGGAACCGCACATAAAAGGGGGCTCTCGTCCTTTGAGTCTGTTATCACTTCAGACAGCATCGATGTTGCGACAGAAATGATCATTTACGATCTCAATGGATGTAGATGAAAGTATCAACGTTGATAAACGTTGATAAACCATCCCAAAGCATCCAAAAGCATCATCAGCGAGTCAAGCTCAGGCGCCATCATTTGTGAACAGCGGCATTTCGGGCAGCCGGCGTTTGCGGATATCTCTTGTACTTTGTTGACTGATTACCTCTCTCCCTCATCTAATCCAGATTGAAAGGATTGATTTTTGTTACCGTTCAACCAAGATCTGAATCACCTGGAACGTGTGTGTGTTTTGTAATTTCGGATGTCCCACACGGAACGCTCCGAGGCCGACCCGTCGTCCCCTACTTCGTCCGGGATCGCACGTGGCACGACCCACACGACCCACGGCCGTTCGGGCCGTGCCACACATCGAGTGAGCGGACCATCCGTTGGGGACGTGTGCGGACGGCCGTATCCCCCCCCAGGTCACCGCCATGAATCATGTGTTGAAGCCTTGGGATCATTGGAGACATCCTGTTGGGTGATCCAGGTTTAAAGAGGAGGACCCAATGACCTGGCTGTTTCCACCAATGACCTAGCGACCTCGAATCCCAGGTGGCAACGAGCAACGCACGGTGGCGGCCACGGTCCGGACGCACGGTGACCAGTGAAAAAACGCAGAAAAAGAGACCCAAGGGAATTGAACATGGACAATGGCCCCTGTGTAAAGGGTTCCATAATGTTCCATATGATTATCCTATGTTAGATATAGATATATAGTATAATTACTCTCTCGAGGCTCAAGAGTTCTACTTTGAAGAGCCAACTTGGGTACAGTAGAAATGATTCGGAATAATGCAATACTCTGAGGTCTATGTCCTCCACACCCATCAATACTGCTCAATCTGGTGTTTCTGGCACTATTCATGTGACTTTCCCGCGAATCCCATTCTTCGCAGCACCTTCCCCAGACGACTTGGGATTCACTGAAAAACTATCGACATCACTGGTCCGGCCCGGACGAGGTCAGGCCTGCTTGGATACTATCCCAAACACTCCTGGAATATTTACCTCATTGTCCTCATTTTATATACCTACCTTTACCCCTTTAGCCACCCATCCCATGGAGGGTCTGGGTGTGTGAGACTCTGAAATAGATTTCCGTGGCTTTATTGGGGGGACCAATTGAGTTTGAGAACACTTGATGCCGAAGTCCAGGATGGTGCTGAGCCGGGATCAGGTATATCCCAGAGCTTTAGAACTGAACCTTTTCGGCGTCAACGTTTTTGAAGGGGTTGTTGAAGGACTTGAACGTCAATCCTTTCATGACATGGGTTAACTTAATTCTGAGTCTTCTTCTGGTGACTTAGCTACCCTAAGTGTGGGTCAATTGCTTTTCACGCATACCATCCCCCGCTCCCAACCCCCCCCTTTCCATCCCAGCAGCGCTGTCCCTTGTTTTTCTTTCGATCAAGGCCATGAATTCGGAGAGCTCCAGGACGATCGAGTCCGAGCCGCCGTTGGGACCCGACTGTTCCTGCCCGAGTCCGCACCGACGGTTCCTGCCGACTGTTCGAGTCGAGCTTCCCCCCGGGTGTTTTTTGTGATCAGGAACTAACCCTGACAAACCCTGAAAGTGGAGGTAGTCAATTCATAGGTGCAAGGTTTATTAGAACCGAACTGATGCATTGTGCTTCTGAAAGCTCAATTACACCGTTAAACAATCTTGAATCAAGTCTTCGAGCTTACCATGACCTTGATCCTTTTGAGATCCATGTTCCTTCACTCCTTCCAGGAGTCACTTGGTGCTCATCATCAAGATCATCAGCGTCAATAAGCCACCCCGTCGATCTTCGGGTCCCGCGAGTCGGGTCGGTGCGCCAAAAGGACACTCGTCGGGGTGCCCGCGGTGCGGTCGTTGGGGGGAACACGCGGAGCATGTGTAACAGGGATAGACGGCCTAGACTCTAGACCTACTCTGGGACTGTTCCGTTGATGATATTCGATGAATAGGATCTTCATAATGAGAAGTGGTCATCTTTGTTGGACTCGGCTGTGAACCTGCCGAGATTGGTGAACGTCGCGCTGTGAACGAGATCGGTGCTGGCGCGCACGAGCACCTGCCAGGGAGACGAAGGAAGTGCTCAAAGGAAAAATGCTGATGTGCCACTTGGACGATATTTTTCGACCCAGCCTGTGGGACTGGCATATGGCTGTGGGTCAAAACCCGAAGTCCCAAACCAGGGTAAGTAGGTTGACCATGATCTGGTAGTCTATTCTGCTCACGCGCCGGCGTTTTGCGGTCCTCCCATCCACGCATACCCAGGACTCTCTTTATTCTTTGAGCTTAAGAATTCAAGAGAAAACCCAGCGAACCAGAAGATCCTCCAACTCTGAACTCCCAGGAACGGACGCTGGGACCCCCAGGATCCTGAAAAAGGCAAGAAGCTCCTCATTTGAGAAGTAGGTAAGGGCTCCAACGAGGCCCTGAGACACGACCTATGCAGTTGATTGCTCGAGTGAAGTTTGCCAGGAAAAGAGAACTTCGCAAGTCTGAGTTGCTAAGATGCCTTTCCTGAGCTTCAGGTTCAATTCAATATATAAGCGTGTTGACTCGTGTCTCTAACTGAAAACCTCGTGACACAAAGAGGAAAGTTATCTCAGGGAAAGAGACCTGAACATCATCACCATGTTTCCAATGGAATGTCTCCGACATGCAAGAAACATCTCCAATCATCACTGAGGACTGCACTTCTTCTGAGAGATGTCAACTGCAATCATGTCGCCTGCGACAGGCTTGTCGCATCCGGACTTTGGACAACGATACAACGATGACCATCGATCGGGCAAGGGAAAGAAGTAGAGGCGTTCCTACTCCAGGATCACACCCGACAACGCAAGAATACGCTTTCGCCAAGCTTGCTGAAGAAGATCAAGGACATCAATTTCTCGTTAGGGCCTGACAGTAGGACAAGGAGGACATGCGGAGTAGCAATGGAGTTCCCAACTTTGACGAAGAAGACCAATCTGACTTGCGTGACAGGACTGTGGTTGAGGCCCAACAGGGCTGCAATCAGGATTGGGTTAAGAAATTCAGGGGCAGTCAAGATGATGCTTGGCTAGGCTATGTTGGGAACCATAGCTGGAACAGATTGTAGCCAACTGGCAGTTGCAAGTCATGCATCCTGAGCCGCAAGACCTGGTTTTGCCGGTGGCAGGTTCATGTCTTGACGCACAATGGATCCAGACTCTGGGGTTTGTGCTTGCGATTTGTCAACATCGGAAGGCCAAACATCAATCCCAGACATCGGTAAATATACCAGTCCCATGGAGTGTCTGGGAATTATATATATATATATAGATATATCACTCCCTTTGGTCATTAAACATATCCAAACATCAATGACCTTGGCAACAATCAAGATCAATCATCTTCAGGAATCGACACCTGCATATCCGACCAGCACAGCAAACCCACG